GGGTTTAGGGTATGGAGTTTTAGGGTTAAGGGTTTAGGGTTTGGGTTTTAGGGTTTAGGGTGTAGGCTCCCACTACATTCTTGGGGTTCCCTGTGTGGAGTTCCCAGTAAAGGCCTTTTACATATACCTCCATGGCCGTTGTAGGAGCCTTGCAGCGAGGTTTTTGGAGTCCGGAATTTAGGGCTTGAGGTTGCATACTGACCCCACTCAGTAACAGTTGGATAATGGTTATAAGATGGTTATATATAGCGCTTAATAGGACCCCTAGTATAGACTGTTACTGGGCGGGGACGCCAAGCTTAAGGCTACTAAGTAAGACTTTGTGGCTTGGTTGAGGGTTTTTAGGGTTTGGGGTTCAGGATTTAGGATTAGGATTCAGGGTACAGGAGTTTGGGCGAAAGGTTTAGCAATTAAGGTTCGGGATTTAGAGTTCAAGATTTAGGATTTAGGGTTTGGCGCACAAGGTTTAGCATGTAGGGTTTAGGATTTAGGTTGAGGGTTTAGACATAAAATAGATCCCTGGTGAACCTAATTCTAGTTTGTCTCCTCATGTCATGAAGAGCACAAACTAATTGATCCCTGCACTTCCCGTGTAGCCTCGTGTATTTTGATCATTTTCCTAGTCCTAGGGCCTCAACCCTAAACTAAACCCTAAACAGCTGATGACAAGGAGAGGGGTTTTGCTACAAGCATGGGATGGGACTAGAGACCTCCAAACGGGGATTGGTCAGGATGGCCCCTACATCTTTGAGAGTGACCTTTTTGATGTGTCGTTTGTGCGTGTACATTCTCGTCATATTTGAAACTCAAATACAAGTACGCATATGCACCCACACACACACACACATTCACGGGTATACACACATACTTGAGATTGCTATGGGGGTTTTCAACTTCAAGAACGCCAGAGTCATAATGCCAAATTCCCAGACCCCTACAGCTAAGACCCCCAGAGGACCTTGGCGTAGTAAGAAGTCTTCATCTCCTCTCATTTTCTGGCATTAGGGGCTTGGAGCCCTCAGACCCCAAATCTTGAGTCAAAAGCCTGCCAAGACAAGGTCCCTTAAACTTAAACTCCTCAACCCTAATCCCCTAAGCCCTCATACCCTCAACTTGTCAACCCTAAATCTTGAACACCCTAAACCCTAAACCCTAAACACCTACATCCAGGAAGCCCTGAGTCTACCCTACTTGGAGGGTCAGGGAACTTGGTAAGTAGGTAGAATGACTCCTATAACCCATATGAGCTATAGACTAAACTCCTTAAAGGGGGTTATATCGGGAATTATATAGGGGACTACTATAGGGCTTATTAAGGGGGATACTAGGAGTTTAGACTATCGTTCATATAGTAACCCCATTCATTTATCCCTATTATAAACCTAGTTACTATAAGCCCCCCTTGACCCTCCACCCTAGGCTTCCTAAAGATGTCGGACGACCTCAGCGTGCACCTCAGCGAGGTTATGCACAAGGCATGGACTGGGTTTAGGGCTTTGGGGTTTA